GGGGGGGGGGGGGGGGGGGGGAATGTGATACAATTGATAGAGATAAAGAAAATTAATAGCGGTATAAAAACTATTCTAAAAATATGTTTATGTAAAAAGAAAATTGTTTACTTGGGTAATCAAGTTTTGTAACTAGTGTGGCACGTGGCAACTCAGGATATAGCCATCCATATAGGGAAAAAGTTGGACCGAAACCGGAGAAGTTTGTTAGAAAGGTAAACGAGATGGCAATGCGCAGGAAGTTGAAATTTAATTTAGTTCTATTTAAATAAAATTTTTCAAAAATATTTCTTTAAATAAATAAATAGTGAAACAAACTTCTTATACATTAAAATAAATTTATGTATAGGTTAATATGTAATTTTTTTTTTGAAAAAGTTATATTAGAGAATTTTTATAAATTAATTTAACTATAATCTAATTTTAATTTATAAAAAAACTTATTTTATTTTCATTTTTTTTTGAAAAATTTATCTTAATAGAACTTTGGTAATAGAGAATGGTGTTTTGAAATAGATGTGATATTGTCAATAAGGTGGGTGGCATGCTTGAAACAAATAGCTTTGGTGAGGTTTAGGAATGATAAATAAATCTATATATATGAGTAATGTCTTAACTTATTTTAATTTTGTCAGAGAATTTCTTATTTTATCAGAATATATATAGATATAGATAATATCTTATTTATTAAATCAAAAGACAAGGATAAGGATGTGTATATATTTATTCGTCTCGTACATACTCTTATCTATCCCAACTTTAAATTTTTAAAAACTTAACTTTTTTTCTATATTTTACTTAAAATTTATGTAATTCTTAATCTATTTAAAATTTATATCAAATAAAAAATAAATAATGTAATTTCTAACATAGATTAGAATTCTTATTTTTTTAATATATTATTTAATTAATTTATAAGTGAGTATAAGGTGAACATAATGTATCCGATACCAAATAAAATGAAAATAAGGCATAAATTTCATCATCAAATATAAAAATAGAGATGAATATAAATTACGGAGTAACAAGACGAAAATATTACGATGGTAAAATTAACAAGCTCATGAACAACTAAAATACATGAGTGTGTGTGGCTCATAAGCTAATTAGTTGTTAGGTGGTGATAAAGGAAGGTAATTAAGGATACAAGGAAATTAGCACGTAGACAATGTCCTAGATTATGCCACCTCTAATGCTCCGTGCTACTTTAGGCCATCTCCACCGTTAGAAGTGTAGAGCCCAATTTCAAATCAAATTTAAAAGCTCTTGTTATATTTTACTTGAATGAATGTATGGACTTTTTTTATTTTTATTTTTATTTTTAAGAACTGGTCCTTCAACCCGGAGAACAGCACAGCCTTTTTGAATAAGAGAACTTGAAAACAACATGTTCTTAATTTTAACAATTGTCTCGAGAACTTGTATTTGAGATGTTCTTAGTTAATAATAAGAGAATTTAGCAAAAACATATTCTTAATTTTAACAACTGTCTCATGAACTTGAATTGCGATGTTTATTTGGTTTTATAGCACATATTTGCGTGATTTTAAGAGGAAAAAAAATGTCATTTTTGTATAATTTTTTCATAGCACTTATAAAAAAAGAAAAAAGAAAAAAATAAATTAAGAAGAAAAGTGAATTGAATTTCTTTTAAATGAAAAAAGTTTTGACAATAAGTTAATTTAAATATATACTTTATATATATATATATATATAAATTGCTATTATATTCATGTTTACAACTTTAATACTCGAAGCTAATGCATCTGCCTATATTTTTGTTGAAGAAAGTTCATTAGGTTATCTTAACTTGCTTCATGATCAACTCGCTTGTTTGTGGATTACATGGGATGGGAATCATATTCCTATGTTCTTTCTTGTATTTTTTTTCCCTTAAACTAAAAGAAAAAACTTCATAGATATATCCACGTATGGCCCAACATAAACTAAAGACTCTTTTTCTTTCATATAACAAGGAAACTTTTGGATTATTTATTATCACTAATGGTGTGTTTGGTTAAAAAAAATATAAGTAATAAGTAAGATGATTGTATAAGTTATTTGATTAAAAAAAAATTGTCTTGTATGGTTGTGTAAAAAGTGAAAGATTCTTAATATAAAATAAATACAGAGAAGTGCATTTTACTTTTTTTCTACTAATAAATTATTTATCCGAGTATGAATCGAACTAATCTCAATCTTCATAAATAAAAGTTTTGGATTTTTTTGTTTGTCAAGAATAATCTACAAAATTTTTGGATGAAGAAGATTTGGTATTGTTTCGTTTTGATAGTCAATTTTTTTCCTTTTATATAATCTTTATTTATTTTATGTTTAAGTAATGTGAAAAATTTATTTTTTTAATATACTTTTCACATCTAAATCTAACACTATTTAAATAGTAAATAACTCTTCTCGAATCATTTAACATAGACAAGTGGACTTATAAGATAAAAACTTTACTCATTTTTATTTGTTTGTCTTATATTCAGTGGAAGTGAAATTTGAATTTTATTGTTTCGAATTCTTTGCCTGTTCCTTTACGCGCGTGAATCTGTGGGGATGAAGATGAACAGATGAAGCATTGTGGTATTGAGTATCGTTATGCAAAGGACAAAACACACACACACACCATTTGTTTTCCCTCTACACTGCCACGTAAAAACTGTTAACCTGAAAAAGGTTGGTAGAACTACAATGGAATGGAGGGGGTTTTGGCCAAGTGTTGCTCTTTAATGATCCTTTTCGAGTACACTGCTGTCCTTCCAACCACGTAGGACTCTATGCCCTAGCTACCAAGGGCATGCCTTCCTAGTCCCTATACATACTCTGTTCAGGGCTCACCCATCCAACAGTTACTAACCAAATAGAGTATTCACTCCACTGGACAATACCTCATTGCTTCTGCAGTGCTACCTGACAAATATCCATTATATCATATTCCTGTGACAAAAGATTTGATTCTAATAAGTACCATAACCATTAACTAATAAAATAAAAAAAAGCGGGTATTTACTTTTGTTTGAAAAGAACTAAGCATGTAAATTATTCCACTTTTAATTCATGGATTTTTTATATCATAAAATTTCCAAAATATTATGCTTGTAGCTTTATGGGTCTCCATCAATTCTTTTAAGTGAAAGGTTTCCTTAGTATGTGCATATTATTGGAACTTAAGAAAACAGCGACCTAATAACACTAATAGCTATAGCCTATAGATGATTCAGTCTCTCTAATTTTCAACTAACGTGATAATTTGGTAAACCCAAATGTTAGTAGAAAGGGAAATAAAAACATTGCACGATTTGGTAAGTAAGGGAGGGAGGAGTATTTAAAGGAATTTGTGTCTCCTCCTCCATATGGAAAAAGATGGGGTAAGGGGGAGAGGAAGAAAGCAAAGTTGAGTAAGAGTGAGTAGGTAGGGTACAAGTAGAAGGTGACATGGGAATAGAGATACTTTTATGGGAAAATGAGGTGGGAACAAGAACGATGACTGGCTAAAGAAAAAGTGTATGGGTCCTCCAATGAAGGAAAGGATTATGTTATGGTACACTGATTGAGCGTGGGATTGTTGCCCAACATTGTGTCATGTGGAAGATTTTTACAGACTAAAAGTAGACGTACAGCAGTCTAGTTCTAAGTTGACAAGCCAGGCTCAAGACTAATCTTTTTGTTTGAACGTGGAAAAACAAAATGAACCCTCTTTTGAAATAAGATAACGCAGAAAAAATGGGTAAGAAAGAAAATAAAGGAA